TTGTCGGGGCATCGCGTCCAGACTCCCCCGATCTGCCGACAAACAGCTGATCGGCAGATCGGGGCAGCCATTTAAATTTAAATGAAGCCGCGATTATTTTAATCGCGGCTTCATTTCCCTCTTTCGATCTGGCTAATCTACATGCCTCCGTCGAAGGAGGCATGTAGTCTAGACACACCCTAAGAAGCACGCAGTATCTTTTTAGGGGAAAAAGCAAGATGCCGCCTTTATTAAGACTACAATATCAGAGCAGCTAGCATATGCTTCATAAAGACAAACACACCTCTTCCCCCCCCCACACACACACACACATGTACGTCCTGCAGATGGTGTATAGTTACCAGTCTGGCTGAAGTCAGTCTTATTGGCCAAGTAAGACTGAGTAAGGAGTCGGGGTCTTTCAATCACGATCTGAGGCTGATCTGAGGCTTGGCTTGCAAGACTGAACCCTGAATGTAATGGCAAAAGCACCCCATTTTATACACGTAAGTTCCCATTTGAGTCTATGTTTATTGCAGAGTCATGCTGCAATCATTCATCCTTAAAGGATATCTCAGGGTATGTCTACACTACAGCGCTAATTCGAACTAACTTAGTTCGAATTAGCGCATCTAGACCTAAAAACTAGTTCGAATTAGCGTTTTGCTAATTCGAACTAGCATGTCCACATTGAGTGGACCCTGAACAGAGGTTAAGCAGTGCCGACAGGGCATCAGAGTAGGACTTAGAGCATGGAGCTGCTGTCTCAGGCTAACCGAGGGCTGTGCTTAAAGGGACCCGACCCCCACCCCAGACAGACAGTTCTCAGGGGTGCCCTGCTTGCAAAGCAGTCCTGGCTTGGAGTGCCCTGAGTGCCCACACTCGGAACATCACAGCACTTAGCCATCAGCCTGGCTGCACTTGCCGCAGGCTGCCATCCGGGGGGAGGGGACAATGGGGGGCTGCAGGAGAACTTCCACCCCGAGCAGCCCGCAGAGCCAGCCCAGTCCTCCCCATCGGGGGCTCGTACCCCATTCCTTCCTCACCTCCTTCCACTTACTCCTCCCTAGCTCCCCTTCCTGATGTACAAAATAAAGGACACGTGTGTTCAAAAATAGAATCTGTCTTTATTGAACAAAACTGGGGGAGACGGGGAAGAGAGAGGCTGGGAGAGGGGAGGGCAACTAAAATGATGAGGGGTTTGGAACAGGTCCCATATGAAGAGAGGCTAAAGAGCCTGGGACTTTTCAGCTTAGAGAAGAGGAGACGGAGGGGGGATATGATAGAGGTCTCTAAAAGTATGAGTGGTGTGGAGAGGGTGCATAAAGAAAAGTTCTCCATTAGTTCCCATAATAGAAGGACTAGAGGA